GCCAATGGACTATTTGAAGAATTTAAAGATCAGAGTCTTCTTTGGTCAGGACTTTATATTCTAAGAACATCCCTTTCATCTTTGTGAGAATGGATTGGAGAAGGACAAAAGGGGAAGTAGGGAGATGAACAGGGAAACAAGGTAGATATCCAAGTGAGAGATGATGGTGGGGCCCAGGTTAGGATGATGCAGAGGGTGGAGAGAAGAGGGCCCCTTAGTATGGGTTTTGGAGAGGGAGCAGATTCCTAGATATTCAGGAAGAGGGAAAGAGAGCAATCATGGTTCATTTCTGGCTCCAGTAAACAATGGAGCCATGTATTTAAATGAGAATGACCCAGATGGTGGTGTATGGAGGGTTTAGGGGGTTCTTCAAACACCTACTGATGTATTACAGTTCAATTCTGGAACTAACCACCTGGAAACCACCTGGAGTTAGTACAGATACTACAAATTTAAGAGCATGGTTCCAAAAAAGACTGCCCTTATTTCGGGTGCCAGCTGCATTTGCACATCCCCCAAGCCACTTGCACTTCTCACCAACTAGCTACCAATTCAGGAGTTTCCATGACTCCCACAGGGTTGATAATTCACTGGAATGACTCATGGAACTCAGGAAAGTGCTATAATTATAATTACAGTTTTATTATAAAGGATACAAATCAGGACCAGCCAAATGGAGAGACATATCAGGCAAAGTCTGTGAAAGCACCAGACACAGAGCTTCTATGCTTTCTTCCTGTGGAACCAGGGCTGTCACCCTCCTAGCACACCAACTTGTTCACCACCCAGAAAGCTCTACTGAGCTTCAGTGTCCAGAGTTTTTACTGAGGTATTATCACATAAGCACAATTGATTGAATCATTAGCTACATGATTGAACTCAACCTCCAGCCCCGCCCCCCACCTCTTGCAGGTGGGCCTAGTTTAAAGTTCCTCTGATCACATGATTGGTCTTTCCGGTGACCAGCTTTCATCCTAAACTGTCTCATTAGTAAATTCAGGTGTGATCAAGAGGCTCATGAATAACAAAAAGATACTCCTATCACTTGGGAAATTTTAAGAATGTTATTATGGAAGCTCAATAGCAGAGACTAGGGATTAACAAAGACCAGATAAATTCTTTATTGTGCAACAGGGGTGGAAATCTTAAATTTGACTTTTTTTTTTTTTTTTTTTGAGACAGAGTCTCGCTTTGTTGCCCAGGCTAGAGTGAGTGCCATGGCCTCAGCCTAGCTCACAGCAACCTCAAACTCCTGGGCTCCAGCGATCCTTCTGCCTCAGCCTCCCGAGTAGCTGGGACTACAGGCATGCACCACCATGCCCAGCTGATTTTTTCTATCTATATTAGTTGGCCAATTAATTTCTTTCTATTTATAGTAGAGATGGGGTCTTGCTCTTGCTCAGGCTGGTTTCGAACTCCTGACCTTGAGCAATCCGCCTGCCTCGGCCTCCCAGAGTGCTAGGATTACAGGCATGAGCCACCGCACCTGGCCCTTAAATTTGATTTTAATTCTGTTAACTTTATATGTGATTCATGGAAGTGGAGATGCCAAGAAAGCATTTGGAAGCACAAGCTCAGAGATCGATGTCTGGGGTGGAAATGAAAATGGGTGAGTTAATATTAATAGCATGGAGGTGGAATTCAAAGAAATGAGAATGGAGGATAAAGCTAAAGGATGCAGGGCCCAGGCCTGACCCCTGAAGGATCCCCACACTCAGAAGTGGGGTAGAGGAAAATGAGCAGCAGAAAAGGAGGGAATCCAGGAAAGAACGACAAGTTAGAAGTCAAAAGAGAGGGTATGCAGAGGGGAGTAAGCCACAGGAAGAAATGCTACTGGATGCCTTCGCCTCCTGATGTTGACCTTTTTGAGTTCAATAAATATAAAAAAGAGGCCGGGCGCAGTGTCTCATGCCTGTAATCCTAGCACTCTAGGAGGCCGAGAAGGGCGGATTGCTCAAGGTCAGGAGTTTGAAACCAGCCTGAGCAAGAGTGAGACCCCATCTCTACTATAAATAGAAAGAAATTAATTGGCCAACTAATATAGATAGAAAAAATCAGCCGGGCATGGTGGCGCAATGCCTGTAGTCCCAGCTACTCGGGAGGCTGAGGCAGAAGGATTGCTTGAGCCCAGGAGTTTGAGGTTGCTGTGGGCTAGGCTGACATCATGGCACTCACTCTAGCCTGGGCAACAAAGCAAAACTCTGCCCCCCCCCCAAAAAAAAAGAACATTGGTGTTTGAGAAAAAAATTGCAGATATCATGTCCCTTTACTCCTAAATATGTCAGTGTGTATTTTCTAAAAACAAGGATAAGTCAGGAAATTAACATTGATTCGATGTCATTTTTGAATCCAGCAGTTCTCAAAGTGTTCTCTAGCCACTCTAGGTGATCTACAAATTTTCAACTATTTTAATAATAATATAAGGACATTATTGCCTTTTTTATTCTTATTCTTTCAGGAATGTACAATGAAGTTTTCCAGGGGCTCCATAACATATAATGACCTCATTGCTCTGATTTTAATACATAAAGGTTTCAACTGAACAATGCCGAGGTTCTTAAATTTGGAAATGAGTGGCTATTCTAACAGGCTAGGAAGCATAACCTTGGGCAGAAGCCAAGACCATGGACTTCAAGGGAATAGTACAGGGAACAGGAATTTATGCTGAGCAGGGTGGCTGAACATACAGTTTTAACAAGCTATAGGAAAAGTCATGAATATTTATAAAAGGAGAAACATGCCCCTTCATAAGTCTCATGTCTAAAAAATTGTTAATATTAGCATGACCCGAGGGTGGAGTTTTTGGCCCTTTAACATTAGAAGGTAAACAAACAAAACAAAACAAAAACATCAGAAGGTGAAGCAGAGAACATGAAAATCCTTTGTGCCCATCTTCTATATACTGGCCAGAACCATTCCATGGTCAGTGGCACCTTATCAGGAAGGAATGGTGGTCAGTTGTGCCAAAATTGCAAAAATGGAAGAGCAGCATTAGGTGGTTGATTGAAATCAGCAGAGGAGCAAGTCTTTTCAAAAGGCTGATTCCGTTTAACCCTTAAGGAAGAAAGCCTAATGATGGTTAATGAGGGAGGGAGTGTAACGAAGCGTATCTGACTTCCCATTCCATCACATCTGGGAACTCAGTTTTGAGGTTTTTCTGGGGTTCCTTGGTCAACTGTCTGTTCAGTTAGTTGAGGGGCTTAGGATTTTATGTTTATTGCTTAAAGTTTTTGTATTATTGTTTTAAAATATAAATCCATGTTTAACAATTTTTCTTAGTTATAATTGATGATACAGTCAATAATTTTAGATATAATCTACACAAACAAAAGCTATTCGGTGTGCTCAATAATTTTTAAGAATGTAAAGCAGCCAGGCACCGTGGCTCACACCTGTAATCCTAGCACCCTAGGCAGAAGGATTGCTTGAGCTCAGGAGTTTGAAACCAGCCTGAGCAAGAGCGAGACCCTGTCTCTTTTATTTAAAAAAAAAAAAGGAAAGGGATTCTGAGATCAAAATCTTTGAGATGTGCTGATTCATATAAAAAAAAAGAAATTCAACTTTTACCAATTGTCTCAATAACTGTTTTCGTTTTAGTTTTTTTCTGGCTAGGATACAACCCAGGTTAATTTAGTTTTCCTGTCTCTTTAAAAGTCCCCTTTCAGGCATGGTGGCTCACACCTGTAATTCCTAGCACTCTGGGAGGCCAAGGTGGGAGGATTGCTCGAGGTCAGGAGTTTGAAACCAGCCTGAGGGTGAGACCCCGTCTCTACGAAAAAAATAGAAAAATTAATTGGCCAACTAAAAATATATAGAAAAAAAATTAGCGGGCATGGTGGTGCATGCCTGTAGTCCCACCTACTCGGGAGGCTGAGGTAGGAGGATTGCTTGAGCCCAGGACTTTGAGGTTGCTGTGAGCTAGTCTGATGCCACGGCACTCTAGCCCAGGCAACAGAGTGACACTCTGTCTCAAAAAAAAAAAAACAACCAAAAAAAGTCTCCTTTAATCTTTAGACTTTCTTTTCTTTTACATTTTTAAAGACTCCTAATTAGTTAGTTTGTAGAATATTCCTCAGTTTAGGTTATTTCTTATTTCTCTTCATGATTGGATTGAGGTTATACTTTTTTTTTTGGCAGAAAAAAACCACAAGATTGATGTTGTGTCTTTCCCAGTTCAGTATCAGGAGGTACCTAATGTCTGTCTCATTACTGGAGGTATTAATTCTGACCACTTCATAACGGTAATTTAGTATTCAATATTTAACATTCAAGCATACTAGTTTGTAGTCTTTTCTGGCCAAGTCCTTATTCTTTATTTTCAATGCTTTTTCTACAGCAGCCAATGCTATTAGAGGCCTTCAAGGTGAAGACACACTGAGATGGAATTTTTTAGTAATGATAATTTGTTGGGGTAATAGTTGTACAGCCCTTTGCAGCTGTCTAAGCACTTTTACATAGTCTGTTTCATTTAAATCTAAGAATCCTGTGAGGGGGCTAAGTATTAGTATTTGTATTAGAGGAAGAATTAGAATTCTAGAATCATATACCTATTTACTATCATGACATGGTGAAGTCAATACTTAAATATAATAGTTAAATGGCTATTTTAGGCAGCAGATCCTTTTGTATCTGTTATCTGAGAAGCCACCGGGGCAGGAAGACAAGGGAAGAAGGATTTGGGAGGATCTGGGCACAGGAATGGAAAAGAGGAAGGAGGAAAACAATTAGGGATAGGATTCAGACCAAAGCTGGGATTCAGAGATGACTCGCTCTCAGGTCCCGGGAGGTGGGAGAAAAAAACCAGCGCAGAAACTGCCTTGTGGCAGAGCGGAGTCTGGACTGGGCTGGGGGCTGGGCCAGAGATGGCTGGATCCAACGGCTCCGGCGCGAGCGGCTGTGGGTGGGGCGGGGCCCATCCATGACGGGCGGGGTTACGGTTAGGCAGCAGGTGGGCGTGGCAGACACCGGCAGAGCCAATCAAAGGATGGGCGGGCTTATAGCCAGGCCGAGAGTGGGCGTGGCCGACGTGGATGGGCTGCAGCCGACCGGGTCGGACCCGGGAGCCCGGCGCGCTTCCGGGTGTCACCTCCAGAGGGCGCCGGCCGCGGAGCCGCCCGCACAGTCTCTAGGCCGGACAGAGCGCGGTGCCGCCCCACTTGCCCCAGCCTCCGCCATGAAGGCCGTGGTACAGCGCGTCACCCGGGCCAGCGTCACAGGTCAGTAGGGCGGGGCCGGGCCCGGGAGAAGCCGCTTCTGACCCCCGCGACCAGCCGTCCTGCGTGGGGGGTCCCCCTGCGCCATCCTCCGGATCGCTGCGGCCCCTCCACGAGCTCGGTTCCCGCAGCCCCGGGTCCCCGGGGCAGCCCCGCGGCCAGAGAGCGTCTGCTCGTGCCTGGCCGCCCGGCGCGTCCCTGGCTGCAGGATCTCCGCTTGGGGTTCAGGATAAGCGCGTCTTATTATTATCACCGTCTTTTGTCCCACGTACATGGTGGCAGACCCTCTGAGCATCCCCGCGGCCCATTCTTCTGTGGAATGTTGCACAAACAACACGTAGGGAGCGTTTCCGGAGCAGGTCTCTTTTCACTGCTCGATTTTAAATATTTCGTTTTTGTCCATTTTTACGTATCCCAGTTGTTTTGGAGCTTGATGCCCAATAAAATGCACAGGTGTGAAGAGTCGCTCATTTGGCTGCGCTCTGACAGTGTGTACTGCACGTGACCAGCGCCTGGGCGAGATACAGACCATTCCCCGCCCAGGACTCCCCTCTTCCGCACTCACCGACCCCTGCGGTGATGGGGGGCGAATATAAAAAATTCAAGATGAAATATTTCTCTTTTTCACTAACTTCTCGTGGACCATGCCATCCAACCATTAGTTGTCACTTGAACACTCTCGTTGGTCTAGGTTGAACATCAGAGGTTCAGATGATTAGGGTTTTAATAGATAATGTAGTCATTTCTTAAAAAAACACGGTATGAATTACAAAATATTTAAATGACAAGTTTTATATTGTCTTTAGTCTTTTCTGTTTTTATTGGTAGAATTATATTGTTTCAGTTTAAATAATTCCAGATATCCTGTCCTTCATTCCATTCTATACCAAATATTTGTTCTTGTGTCCACAAAAGTGTATATTTCAAAACAAAACAACAAAAACCCCTAAAGAAACAACCAGACCCACCAAAACCATGTGTTTAGATTTGACGTTCTACTTTACAACCCTGCCTAATGATTTCTAAGCTGTTCTGGTAACTTTGGTTTTGGAAATGGTCCTGGAATAATAGGGGATAGAATAGCACTGAGATTTATGGAATTTTAAAGGTTTTTATAGTATTTCAATAAATAGTTCAAGAAAACTGGGAAAATGCATAGATGAAAGCATAGTTTTTTGCTTTTTGAGCAATATCTTGCAGTCTGTACTATGTGGTCATCACCAATAGATTTAAATTTTGGTCTTTTTCCTGAACTCTCCATCCTGCTGATCTGGAATATTGAAAATGTGTGTTCTGTGAGATTTGCTGAATGGAGTTTCAGTTATTTTAGTGCAATATTTAAATTGTATACTTTTAGTTAAAACCTGCTATTAAAAAAGGTAAGAGTAGTAATTGTGGGAAAGTGTTAATAACGTCGGAATTCTAGTTATCCAGGCCTTCTAATTGAATCATAATGAAAAGAGATTTTCTGATCCCTTTGAAATGTGCCTGGCTTCACTGAAATGTGGCTTTTTTTGAATGGTATTTTGTTTTAGGGGTTCTAAAATGTAACTTCCTATTTTATGGTCAGGAGAGAGTATCAGGAGTCACATCTTATTAAGTGGCAGATTCATTTTATGAGATTGGTCAGACATTTTTTGATGCCTTAGCATGGTTATCGTGATGATAATCTAATTTTAAAAAGTTTATTATGGAACATTTCAAACGTATTGATTTGATTACACAGACAGATAAGTACAATAAACCCCCATGTCCCATCACTCTGGGTCAGCAGCTTAAATCTGATCTAAAATTTTGAGTTTGAACAGGTTAATATAAGAGGTTGTAATTCTTAAAGATGAGGTCTCAGGGCTGATGCCACTCATACATGGAGAAATAGACCAAACCTCTCGTGTCTTTTCCAGTCCTGTGATCTTTTGTCTAAAGTAGTGATTGTGAAGTTTATCCCCTGGAAGTCCATTTGTTTATAATAAAAAATCCCTTTGAACCTGCAATCTCTGTGCCATATATAGGTTTGGGAGCAAAAGTTGTTTCTTATTAACATAATTAATTATAAAAATGTATGAACTCTTGATAGTGAGTCTCCTTTTGAGAATCTACTCTAAGAAGATAATCCTAATTGTAGAAAAAGCCTTAGTGTACGAAGATTTACACCATACCTTTATTAATGGAAGTGAAATATTTGAATCAAGCCATATATCCAGTAAAATGGGATGGTTAATCCCCTGTGTAGGATACAACTATTTAAAAGTGTTTAGGGAAAGTTTATGACATGGAAAAATTTTTATGCAATGTTAAGAGAAAAGATGAGATTCAATTTTTTTTTTTTTTGAGACAATCTGACTCTGTTGCCCTGACTAGAGTACAGTGGCATCATCATAGCTCACTGCAATCTCAAACTTCTGGGCTCAAGCAGTCCTCCTGCTTCAGCCTCCTGAGTAGCTGGGACTACAGGCATATGCCACTGAGCCTGGCTAATTTTTTCTTTTTTAGAGACAGAGTCTCCTTCTGTTGTCCGGATTAGAGTGCTGTGGCATTAGCCTAGCTCACAGCAACCTCAAACTCTTCTGCTCAAGTGATCCTCCTGCCTCAGCCTCCCAGGGATCACAAGCATGTGCCACCACACAGGCTAATTTTTTCTATTTTTAATACAGACTGGATCTCACTCTTTCTCAGGCTGGTCTCAAACTTATGACCTCAAGGGATTCTCCCACTTCAGCCTTCTAGAGTGCTAGGATTACAGGTGTGAGCCAGAGTGCCTGGCTGCAAAAATTTATATACAGTATTATTATAATAGTTGAGAACAAATATGAAGTAAAATATATGAATAGAGAAATAGCAAAAGGAAATCATTAAAATGTTAAAGTGCATATCTTTGTTCTTTTTTCTACTTTTTTTTTTTTATTATTAAGACAGAGTCTTGCTCTTGTTCAGGCTGGAGTGTAGTGGCACAATCTTAGCTCATTGTAACCTCAAACTCTTGGGCTGGAGAGAGATCCTCCTGCCTCAGTCTCCCAAGTAGCTAGGACTACAGGCACCTGCCTGATTTTTACACCTGCCTGATTATCACACCAGGCTGATTTTTAAAATATTTTTGTAGAGATGAGGTCTTGCTGTGTTACCCAGGTTGATCTTGAATTCCTGGACTAAAGTGATCCTCCTGCCTCTGCCTCCCAAAGTGCTGGGATTATAGGCATGAGACACTGAGCCTGGCCCTTCTTCCTGTTTTTTACATTTTCCAAATTTTCTGTAATGTATATGCATTCTTTAAATGGTGGATATAACATCATAACCTTTATTTTATTTTATTTTTTTTTTTTTGAGACAGAGTCTCGCTTTGTTGCACAGGCTAGAGTGAGTGCCGTGGCGTCAGCCTAGCTCACAGCAACCTCAAACTCCTGGGCTCAAGCAATCCTTCTGCCTCAGCCTCCCGAGTAGCTGGGACTACAGGCATGCGCCACCATGCCCGGCTAATTTTATATATATATATTAGTTGGCCAATTAATTTCTTTCTATTTATAGTAGAGACGGGGTCTCGCTCTTGCTCAGGCTGGTTTCGAACTCCTGACCTCGAGCAATCCGCCCGCCTCGGCCTCCCAGAGTGCTAGGATTACAGGCTTGAGCCACCGCGCCCGGCCCATAACCTTTATTTTTAAAGACATACTTTGGGAAATATTTAGAAAGTATATTGACATTGTAAGAAAATAATATAGATTCATTTAAAGAATAAAGCCAAAGGCTTTCTAAAGCAATGCCAACAGGCAAACCAATCCCAATTGTTTACTGCTTATGTCAGGATAGATTATTTCATCTTTTGAATCAGTGGTTCAAAGGCCAATAAATCACACACATAGACCATTATAAGAAAAGAAGCATAGAAGAAAATATTAAATTTTTTTTAAGATTAAAAATAACAGAAATTAAGCTTTACTGATATTTCAGGAATGGATTGATGTGGATGCTTCCCTGGGATCTGTCAGGTGGTCCCTTGTCAGACACCTAAAGAAAGAAGAAAGTTTCTTACCTTTCCCTAATAGTATATAGCAACGTGATATAATTTGTGTTGTGTTGCCTTTTTAGGTATATTTATAGATATTATCCAACAGAAGCAAATAAAAAGAAAATGGCCAACTTTATTGTAAGTGAAACAACTCAGACAGAAAGACAAAAATGCATGTTCTCACTTACAAGTGGGAGCTAAGTAATGTGTGACATGAAAGCAGAGTGTGGAATGATGGACAGTGGAGACTCTGAGGTGTCCAGTGGTGGGGGTTGTAGTGGGCAGATGATGGAGGGTTACTTGGTTCGTACAATGTGCAGTTGCTCTGGTGATGGATGCAATCAAGGCCCTGACTTCACCCCAATGCAGTGTATCAGTGTAGCAAAATTGCTCTTATACAAATTGCTCTATATACAAATAAAAAATAAATGAGAAAAAAAAAAAAAGAAAATGGCTGAGTTGACCCTTCTATTCCTGATTGGAAAATTGGGTCAGTACATGATGAAATAATAAAAACAACCTAATAAGATTGGCAAAAAGTTGTCCAAAAAAAGAGAAAATGATGAAGATTACCATTTGAAATGTGGATTTAGATTCACCACCATGGTGATGAATCTTGCCAACGTTTCTCATATCGTCTAGTAGTAGGGCATACATTTGTCATAAATATATTTGTATAAATACACATACCAAATGTTAGGAGTGTGTGCTCAGAGGTTTTTTTTATGGATGAGGTGAATGATTCGAGAATATTTGGAGATCATGGTCTTCAGATGTAACTTCAGTACTAAACTGGGAAATAATATTAATAGCAGTTTGCTGAGTTGAAGTTTTACACATAAATTGTGGTTTTTATGTATAATGTATTTATCTTCTCTGCAGTAAGTAGGGAAAACATTTGTTTTCATGACATGAACAGTTTCCATTTTGTGCTTTCTGTGTACTGTGTTACCAGATTTGCTAATTTCTAAGAAAAGTGGGAATCTCCTTTCTGAGAATTAATATAGCTGAACTGGATTCTCTGGGGGAGGAAAACACTGCTCTGTTTTCACAGATGGGCAAACTTGACCATAGAAAGTTTTGGGTGTTTTTACCCAAGGTAACAGATGAAAATGTGGCCCTAAAATCCTGCTTAATGGCTGTTCACTTTACAGCTCATTCATTCCAGATAGAAAATCAGAATGGATGAGAATTATTATCGTCTCACTGCATTTATGTAACTCTTTTTATTTTTGAATACCTACTGACTTTATTTTTATTTTATTTATTTATTTATTTATTTATTTCTTTATTTATTTATTTATTTATTTATTTTGAGACAGAGTCTCACTTTGTTGCCTAGGCTAGAGTGAGTGCCATGGTGTCAGCCTCACTCACAGCAACCTCAAACTCCTGGACTGAAGCAATCCTCCTGCCTCAGCCTCCCGAGTAGCTGGGACTACAGGCATACGCCACCATGCCCAGCTAATTTTTTCTATATATATTAGTTGGCCAATTAATTTCTTTCTATTTATAGTAGAGACGGGGTCTAGCTCTTGCTTAGGCTGGTTTCGAACTCCTGACCTTGAGCAATCCGCCCGCCTCGGCCTCCCAGAGAGCTAGGATTACAGGCGTGAGCCACCGCGCCCGGCCTTTATTTTTATTTTTTATTTTTTGAGACAGAGTCTCACTTTGTTGCCCAGGCTAGAGTGAGTGCCATGGCGTCAGCCTAGCTCACAACAACCTCAAACTCCTGGGCTCAGGCGATCCTCCTGTCTCAGCCTCCCGAGTAGCTGGGACTACAGGCATGTGCTACCATGCCTGGCTAATTTTTTGTATACATATTTTTAGTTGTCCAATTAATTTCTTTCTATTTTTAGTAGAGACGGGGTCTTGATCAGGCTAGTTTTGAACTCCTGACCTCGAGCAATCTGCCCGCCTCAGCCTTCCAGAGTGCTAGGATTACAGGTGTGAGCTACCGCCTACTGACTTTAATCAGAGAAATTATGAAAAGTATGTGTGATGATTAAGATATTGCTGTGGCTACTTAAAAGCACTTCTGGCACCTTTTTGGTTCTGAGTCTTTTCTCCCTTTTGGTTTTTTTCTAGTTGGAGGAGAGCAGATCAGTGCCATTGGACGGGGCATCTGTGTGTTGCTGGGTATTTCTCTGGAAGACACGCAGAAGGAACTGGAGCACATGTAAGATGCGTGTTTCTAAGTCATTGCTATTTGAAGGGGGTATTAGTGGTTATGCTGGGAGCCTTAATCGTATTTTGTGCCTTAAAGTAAGCCCCTGTCATTTTTATCTCTTGTCCTATTGGATGTAGTGTGGTTATCTCTGTGTTTCAGAGGAGGAGACCAAGGAAGTGTAATATGTCAAAGTTCACCATTAAGTTGGCCGTGGAATAGGACTACTATCTAGCCTCCTTCCCTATTTGCTGCAATGGCCTCTGACTGTGCCTCTTGTTCTCTTAATGCAAAAACTAAACTTCTTTTCTTATGTATGACTTTGCTATTTTAATTTGGACAATAGGATCTGGGCACTATTTATGTATTTTTAAAATGCCTACTTGTTCATTGTACACCTGAGGATCTTGAACTCAGAGAGGTTAAATTCCTTGCCCCAGGTCATGCACACACACTTAGCAAAAAGCCTTAACCTAAATTAGCATCTGGGCTACCTGACCTTGAAGCTGATGCTCTTTTTACTAAGGTAGCAGAGTTTGCCATTGCTGCTGCCTGACTGGCTCTTTTAGTGCAGTCAGCCCCCTCCCATGTTCCCCCTCTGCACCAGCACCACTTGGTACATTTCTTTCAGATGCTGGATCCCTTTATTTTGCCACTTGGTTTCCAGAGCATGGGTATAATGCTGCCCAATTGTCCCTTTTGTATTAAACTGAAATCAGATTTGGAACCTAATTCCTGCTAAGTTATTGATGACTGATAAGGATAGTTTAATACCACTTCAGGGAGGGTGGTATTTTCATAGCTGTCCTCTTTGATAAAAGAAGAATAGAATGGGGTAGTGGTTAAAAATTGTGGCTCTGGGTCTGAATCTCTTTATAGCATTAACATAGCTTGGTGCTTGAGAGATGTGACTCAACATAAGACACATCTTAGCTATGGAGAGGGGTGATGAATAGTATCCACCACTGAGGATACCTATATAAAGAGTCAGTGAATTAATATTTTTAGAATCTTTGGAACTGTCTTTGTCTTCAATATCACCCAAAAGGGTGACTCTCAAATGTGGAATTTCAGCTTTCATGCTGGCGATTCTTTGCCATGCTTCTCAAATCTGATGCTGCAGACATTACCTGATGCACTTCCTTGCCATGGTGGCTATCCTTTGTCATCCGTATATGTAGGTAGTGCCCCTCTGGGGCTAAATGAAACATGTGATATAATTGTCAAGGTGTCTTTCCCTAGATCTTTTGCATATTTGCAGTAACCATGAGTTTTCTCTCAGAGTATTTGCTGAGTTATTCATTTTGAGTAGCTCCAAGAAAGGGTGTAAAAAGGGGTATCATTTGTCCCAATGTAAAGATTGAATTCTATGAAAAATTAAAATTGGACCCATGTTTTGACATATCCCCCAACCCGAAGAAACAGAGAATGGGTGGTGATGATGTTAGTCCCAATTGCCACCAGTAGCTGCTGTGCATTGGAGGGACTGGCAAAAATGAAGGAAATCCCAAAACAGCCCTATGAAGTAGGACTGTTGTTATTGTGTATCACAGCTGAAGCGTAGAGTGGATAAATAAGTAACTTGCTGGAGGTTATGCTGCCTGGAAGTGATGGAGTCATTGTTATGTCTTTAGTTGGCAGGATGCTGGTGACATTTTGGGGGTGTGGAGTGGGTCGGGGCGCTTGTGATCCTTCAGGGACCGCTCACTGCTCTTTTCCCCTTAGGGTCCGAAAGATTTTAAACCTGCGTGTGTTTGAGGATGAGAGTGGGAAGCACTGGTCGAAGAGTGTGATGGACAAGCAGTACGAGGTGCTGTGTGTCAGCCAGTTTACCCTCCAGTGTGTGCTCAAGGGGCACAAGCCCGACTTCCACCTGGCGATGCCCACGGAGCAGGCAGAGGGCTTCTACAACAGCTTCCTGGAGCAGCTGCGCAAGATGTACAGGCCAGAGCTCATCAAAGGTAAGCAGGAGAGCGAGTTCATGCCCAGGAAAGGATTCTGCAGGGCATGTCCAGGCAGAGGGAGGAGAGAATCTGTAATTGTAGCACCAACTTTCCTGGAAAGTCATTGTTTATGCTTATTCCTTACTTAAAGCAACATAATGGCTGCTGCTGCTGCTGTTGTACTTAACACATGTCCTTGGAATGTCCTCGGTACCATTTACCCTTCTTCATTCTTCTGCTCACATTTTGAAAATGTTTAGGAGCTCAAAGGTGTGTCTGATATCTTTGGTTGCTTAGGTCAGTCCTGTCCAGTAGAAGAAATATAATGCAAGTCCCAAATATGAGCCAAATACTTGATTTTAATTTCTAGTAGCCATAATAAAAAAAGTAAAAAGAAATGTGGAATTAATTAAAAATATATTTTATTGATCTTACTATATCCAAAATATTATAATTTTACTATGCAGTCAACATAAACAGTTATGAGATAGTTTATATATATTTTAAAGGCTTTATTTGTTTAGAGCAGTTTTAGGTTCACAGTGAGTTTGAGAGGAAAGTGTGGAGATATCCCATATAACCCTGCTCCCACACCTGTGCAACATTATCAACACTCCCCCACTTCCCTCCCACCAGAGTGGTACATTTTTTATGATTGATGAACTTACATTGACACATCATTGTCACCCATAGTCCACAGTTTACATTAGGGTTCACTCTTGATGTTCTATGGCTTTGGACAAATTTATAATGACATGTATCCACCATTACATTATGCAGGGTATTTTTACCACCCCCAAACCTTGTGTTCCACCTATTTGTCCTTCTCTTTCTCCTAACTCCTGGCAACTATTGATCTTTTTACTGTCTTCATAATTTTGCTTTTTCCAGAATGTCATGTGGTTCAAATTGTAGAGCGAGAAGCTTTTTCAGATTGGCTTCTTTCACTTAATAATGTGCATTTAAAGTTCCTCCATGTCTTTTCATGGCTTGGTAGCTCATTTGCTATTAGTGCTGAGTAATATTCCATTGTCTGATTTATCACAGTTTATTTATGTATTTACCTACAACGTATCTTTATTGTGTCCAAGTTTAGGTAATTATGAATAAAGCTGCTATAAACACCTGTATTTATTGCAGGTTTTGTATATACACAGTTTTCAACTCTTGTGTAAATACCAAGGAGTGTGATCACTAGATCGAATGTTAAGAGTATGTTTAGTTTTGTAAGAGACTACCAAACTGTCTTCCAAAGTGACTGGATCATTTTGCATTTCAACTGGCAATGAATGAGAGTTCCTATTGCTCCACATTCTTGCAAGCATTTGGTGTTGTCAGTGTTTTGAATTTTGGGTAGTCTAATTGGTATGTAGTGGTATCTTGTTTTAATTTGCATTTCCCTGATGACATATAATGTGGAGCATCTTTTCATATGTGTATTTGCTATATGTATATCTTCTTTGATGTGGTATCTGTTAAGGCCTTTGGCCCATTTGTGAAATTGGAGTTTTTATTTTCTTATTGAGTTTTCAGAGTTCTTTTTGTATTTTAGATACTAGTCTTTTATCAGATATGTCTTTTGCAAATATTTATCCTTTATCAGATATATTTTTTGCAGTTATTTTCTCTTAGTCTGTGGCTTCTTTGTTCATTCACTTGACAGTGTCTTTCATAGAGCAAAAATTTTTTTTTAAATTATTGTTTTTTTTTTTTTTGAGACAAGATCTTGCTCTGCTGCGCAGGCTAGCCTTGAACTACTAGGCTAATGCCATTCTCCCACCTCAGCCTCCCAAGTAGCTAGGATGACAGGCATGCCACCATGCCCAGCCAGAGAAGAAAATTTTAATTTTAATGAAGTCCAGCTTATCAATTCTTTCTTTCATGTATTGTGCTTTTGGTATTGTGTCTAAAAAGCCATCACCATACCCAACATCATCTAGGTTTTCTCCTGTTATTGTCTAAGAGTTTTAGAGGTTTGCATTGTACATTTAGGTCTGTGATTCATTTCAAGTAATTTTTATGAAGGATATAAGGTCTGTCTAGATTCACTTTTTTGTGTATGGGTGTCTAGTTATTTCAACATTGTTTGTTGAAGACTCTTTTCTTGACTCTATTGCCTTTACTCTTTTGTCAAAGGTCAGTTGACAGTTGGGGGTCTATTTCTGGACTGCCTGTTCTGTTCCATTGATGTATTTTTTTTTCCCCCACTAGTACCTCACTGTCTTAAGTATTGTAGCTTTATGGTAAATATTGAAGTTGTGTAGTGTTAATCCTCCAACTTTGTTCCTTTCTTTCAATATTGTGTTGACTATTCTGGTCTTTCACCTCTCCATATAAACCTTAGAATCAGTTTGTTGATACCTACAAAATAACTCACAGGATTTTGATTGGGATTACATTGAATCTATAGATCAAGTTTGAAAGAAGTGTTATTTTGACTATATTGAATCTCTCTTTCTATGAACATGGACTTTCTCTCCGTTTATTTAGTTCTTTGATTTATTTAAGCAGTTTTGTAGTTTTTCTCATATTCATTCTATACATATTTTGTTAGATTTATACCTAAGTATTTCATTTTGGAGGGTTCATTGCTCTTATATAGGAAAGTAACTAACATTTATATATTAAGGTTGTGTCTTGCAACTTTGCTATGATCACTTACTGATTTCAGAAGTTTTTTTTTTATTATTACAAAAGTTTATTTAACAAAAAGTTTAATATGAAAATGTACATTTTTTTTCCAAAGTTTTTTTGTTGATTCTTTTGGATTTTCTTCTTGGATTATTATGTCATCTGTGAATAGAGACTTTTATTTTTTCCTTACCAATCAGTATAACTTTTATTTCCTTTAAAAATAAAGGAAATAAAATAAAAAATAAAATAAAGCTTTATTGCGTCAGCTAGGACTTCCAGTGTGATGTTGAAAAGAGTGATGAGAGGTGATATCCTTGCCTTGTTCTGGCTCTTAGTGGGAAAGCTTCTAGTTTCTCACTGTTAAGTATGATATTAGCTCTAGAGATTTTTGTAGATATTCTTTATCAAGTTGAAAAGTTCCCCTCTATTTTTAGTTTACTGGGAGTGTTTATCATGAATTGGTATTGGATTTTGTCAAATGCTTTATCTGCGTTTATTGATATGATGATGTGATTTTCTTCTTCAGCTTGATTAATTGATTTTCGAATGTTGAATCAGCCTGTGTACCTGGGGTAAATCCTACTTTTCTGTGCTATATAATTCTTTCTCTACATTGTTGGATTCAATTTGCTAATATTTGTTGAGGATTTTTACATCTATGAGAGGTTTATAGGTTTCTTTTTTTGTGATTTCTTTGTCTGGTTTTGATATTATGGTGATTTTGGCCTCATAGAATGAGTTAGGAAATACTGTCTCTCCTTTTGTCTTCTGAAAGAGATAGTAATGAATTGGTATAATTTATTCCTTAAATGTTTGTACAATTTGCCAATGAACCCATCTGGGCCTAGTACTTTCTTTTTGGAAGGTTATTAATTATTGATTCAATTTTTTTAATAGATATAAGGCTATTTAGATTGTTTCTTATGAGAGTTTTTTCAGACTGTGTCTTTCGGTAAGTTGGTCTTTTCAGCTGGTGCAAAGGTAGTGAGTTATCTCACGTGAGTGTTCACAGTCAGTTACAGATTGAATTCCTTGTTCTACTACTTTCCCCCTTTCTCACTACTGTACTTGACTAGTCTAAAAAAAAAACTGGTCTTTTCGTCCAGATTATCAAATTTGTGGGTATGTAGTTGTTTGTAATAGTCCCTTATTGTCCTTTTAATCTCCATGGGATCTGTAGTTTTATGTCCCTTATTTGATTTCTGATATTGGTAATTTGTATTTTATTTTTTTAGTTACCTTGTTCAGAGACTTATTGATTTTATTTATCTTTTCAAAGAACCAGCTTTTGGTTTTGTTTTCTGTACTAATTTCCTGTTTTCAATTTCATTGATTTCTGTTCTAATCTTTATTATCTCTTTTCTTCTGCTTATTTGGATTTAATTTGCTCTTCTTTTTCTAGTTTCCTAAGGAGGAAACTTAGATTATTGACTTTAGTTTCTTTTCTAATATACACATTCAGTGCTATAAATTTCCCTGTTTCCTACTTTTGTACTAGTAATTTTGTACCAAGTCTTCAAAACCTGGTGTGTAGTTTATATTTGCAGCACATCTCTATTTGGACCAGCCATATATCAAGTGTCCAGTAGCCATGTGTAGCTAGTGGCTATAACATTGGATAACATAGGTTTAGGACTTCACTTATCTGCTTATTTTGGGGAGTACCAACCTAGTTTTACTAATCAAGAGTTAGCCTAGAAGGTGTCTCAGAATAATGGTCTTGGTTTGTGGGAGAATTATGAATCTGAAAGACTTTTTAAGAGAGTCAGTCATTTCTAGTTTCTTTTCATGTTTCTGGAGATAAATTGCATTTAATACCATCATATTTTGCCCTTTTCTTTAAAGTTACTGGAACATGTATTCAGCCTCCTTTGGTAATGTACTTAATTTTGAATCCTTTCTAAGTAGAATGTCTCTTTCAATATCTAAGTGTAGTATTTTTTGCTTTGGTCGTACTCTTTTGCAGACATCTAATAGTTGCTGCTTGTTAACTCTAATGTTTCCTTTATTTAATTTTCTCTCTCGGGATGAAACAAACCCAGATCCCTTTTTTATTGGGTGTATTTTCAACCTTAAGTTAAATAATAAAATTTATTAAATGTTTTTGAAGCTCTGTAGCAGAGCCCCACATGGAGGATTGTCAGCTCACCAGATTTGCTGATGCTTAGATGAGATAGATGAGTGCTGTTCCTACTTGTCCTTGGCATTTCCTTTTATTTTAATCCTCCTCTTGTGAAAAGTGTCCATTTGCTGTAAAGACACATAGATTCTATGTGAGTAGGACATTCCTCCCTTAAATAATATCCTACTTTTTACTTGGGTTCTGATAGAGCAGAATATGTTTACCTCTTCTGGAAATATCCAAATTTGGAACTCTACTTACA